ATGTGTGAATAAAACACATCCCTTTATCCCTCACAGCCCAGCCTCTCCCTTCCCTTTGATTTTACAGTAAAATCTGAATCCTGTGTTTATTACGTCAGTTTTTTTGCAGTGGAAATTACTATGATGTGGCAAATTGATCTTTATGGCTCAAAGGCTGGATCAAAAAAGAGGAGGAGATGAGCTGTAAAGGAAACAGCTCTCATTTAAATTCAAATATTTGACCATTAGCTTACGTGGGAAGAAGAAGAAGAAAATATGTGAATGGTAAATGTCTGTTCTTTAATTAAAAAAAAAAAAGGGCTCATCAGCCTCTTAATTAGGAGAGCTGTAATATCAAACTCTATAAATTATTTCATGATTGTTTCATCAGGCACTATGGCCCATGTTCAGATAGGCTTTTCGTTAACAAAAGTTCTCGATACCACAGCTGCCATCTTTCATCCTATAGGCCAACCTCTGCCCTTGAGCATGTGCACATAACTCTCATTGTCTTCATCTAACTCTGCATGCTCATAACTGAAGGCACAGTACAGCTATGTGTGCCCTGGGATTTTATGACTCCCGCCAAACACTATCCATTCTGTCCATGCCCCACCCTAGCAATTGCTTCATTTTTTTTCTGGCAAGAAAGTCCCACTTTGACTCAGTCACTGGTCAGTTATCTGGCCTTTCTACAGAGATGAGCACAGGATGGACAGACCATTCTTGCATTGAGAACTTTGAGTTACTCCTTACTGTAAAGATGAACTATCCAGCCCAATCAACATGTATTGTAAACATCCATCTTGTTTCTTTCTCTGAGGTTATAAATAAAAAGTAATACAAGAGGTAATGTGCTTAAGAGTCTAAAAAGGGCCTAACTTACCATATTACACTATCTAAAGTATTTGAGGTAAGGAACACAAAATCAATATAACACTCAATATAGAAAAGTCTTATAAAATGTAATAGTTTAATTGGCATTAAACCAAAACAGTTCCAGAAATGTTATTCCAAAAACCGACAGAAATTAGCAGATAATTATATCTTTTCTATAGCTTTTTTGAAACATCCTTTAAAATTCTATAGGATGATCCAAAAATGTATATAACTGCTATAATATATGGTTGAATTCTACATAGGGGACCATACCACTACACTTCACTTGATGCCTCTACATTGTCCATTCTCATTGTGTTGGTTTAGTGTTAAATGATTTGTTCATAACCTACCACTGACCATGTTGAATACATTTATGGACAATAAAATATTGAAGATAAAGACACTCCCACGTTTCAAAACAGCTATTAGTTTTCCTGATAGAATAGTAAGAATAGCCAAAATTAAGAAGCAGCCTAGCCAGTGTCAGGCAACAGTTACCTAACAACATATTTGGAGCTCTGCTCATGTACAAAGATTTAGAGTGGCCCCAGTTGCCTATCTCACTTTAGCTCCTTGGCACCACTCCAGCAGCAGAAAAGGTTCAGAATTTGGCTAGATCTCAGCAGCTGATAATTTGGCCTTTTGGGGAGTCCTTGGCTGGTGTAGAGCCAGCATAAGTAGCTACACCACCCTCTCCTGGCCTGAACATAAAGGGAATGTGAAAGACAGAAGTACCATGGCTGGAATGCTACTGAGCTCCAGCTATTCTCAGATGACGGATGACACTTTAGGGGCAGGTACCAGCATTCATGGTTTCAATCAGTCTTAAGGGTATTCTAAACTATGCTGGGCCAGTATATCACCAGTTCAAGAAATAGGGAGCTAGCTCCTCTGTGACACCACAACACTGTGCCTAGTGGACACTGGGCTAGTATTTCTAAGAGTACGTCTACACTACCTGCCAGATCGGTGGGCAGCGATCAATCCAGCGAGGGTCGATTTATCGCGTCTAGTCTAGACGCAATAAATCGATCCCCAAGCGCTCTCCTGTCGACTCCTGTACTCCACCACTGTGAGAGGCGCAGGCAGAGTCGACAAGGGAGTGGCAGCAGTTGACTCACCGCGATGAAGACACCACGGTAAGTCGATCTAAGTAAGTCCACTTCAGCTACGTTATTCATGTAACTGAAATTGCGTAACTTAGATCGATACCCTACCCCCCCCCAGTGTAGACAAGGCCTAAGACACTACTATAGTAAGTGAAAATTCAGTAAAGCTGACAGACTCAGGAGAAGATTGAATTTAAAGCAACTGTCCAGCTAACAAACTATCCAATTAGGTCTATATAATAATGAGGACTTGATTTTATACTGATGGGAACTATTTTTTCCACACAACAGGTACAAGCTCTGGGTTGACACCTGTTCTGAAATGTTTGGGGGTTTGGATATCTGTGCTGTCAAAGCTGTACATGGCAAGGATGGAAAGGATTATATTTTTGAGGTAAGATATGCCATACTTGTCAATATAAGCATTTCCTTGTTAAGAGACCTGAGTAAAACCACTTTACATATGATTTAGGCTTCCAACTCAGGTTGTTTGCATGTCAGAGGATGTAGTGTATTTAACAATGTTTAAGTTATAATGCAAGACCACATATCCAAGTTAGGGGCACAGCTTGCTGGAAAATGTAACCATATCATAATGTTTTCTAGTGTCTGAGGAAACGTACACACATTATAAACAAAACCAAATGGAGATGTCCTATTTTCCGAACTCAAACTTTCCTTCCTAAATGGGCCTACCAAGATTACTTTGGAGTAAGATTTGTGGACAGCACTATCCCAAGGGAACCCCAACAAAAGGATATTTTTACATGGAAAGGGAAATTAAGAACCTTGTTTTCACTTTGTGCCTTTTTTTCAGCCTAAAATGCAATTTTCAGGTCTGATACCCCATGAACCATCAATGCTGGAAGACACTGCTGGGCTTTTCAAAATGATATAGGAGTTTCTAGACCTGATGGTTCTTGATCATTTGGCTTACCCCCACCCTGCCCCCCAAAAAGCCATCACAGGTTATTTATCTATGTAGTCCGTTCGGGGGAGTGGCTCCTCCCCCTCCTGATCTGTGGGCGGCCAGTCCGCCCCACTACATCTCCGGGTGTCGCCTGACATGGGGAATCAGCGGGACGACAGGAGACGTGAGCTCGGGCCTGTGATCAGGGCCAAACAACACACACAGTTACGGAGCCCCAGCCGCTGGTTGGGGCGGGGCAGCAAAGAGTCTCAGGCTCAGGCCTGTACTCAGGCTGGGCAGCAAACAGCCAGTTAGCACAGGTCCTTGATCAGAGTGGGGCAGTAGAGTCTAAAGGGCTCAGGCCTGCACTCAGGCTGAGCAGCAAACAGTCGGGCCTCCTAGTTCTGGCAGAGGGCCGACAAGCGCAGGCTTCTTGCCTAAGGGGGGTGGGGAGACTGCCACCCCACGGATTGGGGTGACAGGTGGGATGCAGGCCCACCCACTCCACTGTGTCCTGGCCCAGGGCCCTAGCAGTGGCAGCAGTGTACTTCCGGTCCCGTCCACTGACTTCCAGCAGGAGGGTTGAGCGTGGTGTAGCTCCATCCATCAGAGTTCAATGAGGGGCTCCTCCCCCTCTGGGTCTGTGGGTGGCCAATCCACCCCACTACAATCTAACAACGCAGGATGCTTTCAGCATCTGAGGACAGTCTGTCCCTAGGATCCCAGTTCCATTTTACTCAAATCCCCCCAAGTCAGGTTCTGATTTTGCAAAAACAAAAGCAAGAGTGGTTTTATCCAAGCCACCAAAGTACACTGGTATGCCAGAGACAGGTTCTGGTTTGTCCTCTCATGGATCATGGTATCCATTTCTAAATAAAACCAAAAGTTTTGGTTCTTTTATGTTCTGCTTGTGAGATTCCAAAAGAAGAAAATACATATAGCTGCTTACAAATGCAATTAAAATTCATTTGTCATCACTGTCGAGTGCTAAACACCCACGACTCCCACTGACATCAGTAGTAGTTGAGGGAACTCAGAAGCTCGCAGGATCAAACTCCGTGCTGTACTCCTCAAAAATTAGAGTTCGTCAGTAGTAGCTCCCTCACATCTTGAAGAATGTGAGCTGTAGAGATCCTGTTTCCTCGGACAACATGCCTGGCTACATCAAAACAACTCTATACACATCCAGCAGGATGAAAGCCATTCCATTCTAACCCCTTATTTTCACTCCCTCGTATACTGCAACTCTCTCTGAAATATTCCCTGTTTAGTTGAAGTCTTCCATGCTTGTTTTCAGCAATAATTTCAATTTTTGTTAAGTTTCTATAAAGCTGGTTAAGCTGGGTGATTGTAAGCATGTGGAAGTTTTCCCTTTTTTAAAAAAATCTCCTTTTTGGTCCTTTTTCTGCTAATTCAAAATAGAGGATAATGCTTGAAATTACAATTTACCATGGACTTAGAGCACAATCTTCCAAGGTTCTGAGCAACACCTGCAAAATAGTAAGCACCTTCCAACTCCCACTGAAGTTAGCATGCGCTCAGTAACTTTCTAGATGAGGACCAGTGCTTGTCACAGGTCTGAAAAATGTTTTCACTGATTAAAAAAAAGTTGTGAATGAAAATGTCATAACAGACACGCACTATACTTCATTTTTCTTCCTCCTTTTGAGCACTTGCCCTGGCCATCTGCACCAGATATACTCCTGTTTTTAGAAAAAATTCTAATCAATTGTAGTGGGCCTACTTAAGGACCATTTAAAAATATAATACATAATAGACACTGCACTGAAATTATAGAACTGATAGAAGTATGGTAATTCTTTGCTACTCTACAGAGTCAGCTGAATTGTTTTGGAAACAGTGACACATTCATGAGCATGGATTGTTAAAAGTTTTATTATCCATTGAGATGTAGAACTGCTCTAGAAGTTCAGATTCATGACATATGTAAAAATCTGTGATTTCGTATAAACATGTAGTGATTGATATTAAAAAGTCAAAATTTACTGCACAGTTGTTCTGAGATATCACAAAGATTGCCTACTTTAAGATGGGGGAAACTTGTGGTGTCTCAGATATGGTTTGGTAACAGAGGGTAAATGCTGACTTTTTAAACGTCAAGCTGTATAAACACACTTGTACCCAATACAGTAAGATGATACAAATGCTGACTTTTAAAAATAGTAGACCACAGCACAATGCGCACACAATGTAGGAACACTTAAGTCAAATACAGATGCAATGTTAGGACCCCTTCAACAAACACATCCTCTCAGACAGGAGGACTGGGTCCTTTGTAAATACATGCTTTCTGTCTAGGCCAGGGGTTCTCAAACTGGGGATCAGGACCCCTCAGGGGGTCGTGAGCTGTCAGCCTTAACCCCAAACCCTGCTTTTCCTCCAGCATTTATAATGGTGTTAAATATATAAAAATGTGGTTTTAATTTATAGGGGGGGGGTCGCACTCAGAGGCTTGCTATGTGAAAGGGGTCACCAGGACAAAAGTTTGAGAACCACTGGTCTAGGCAGATACCCTCTATATAATACAAGGTTCATGATTTGGGACATACATAAGCAGAGACTCACAATATCAGGATACTCATGGTACTTAGATACTATGTGCATTACCTCTAGACTTACGCTGAAAGAAAAGTAACTCTAAATTATTATTATAATTGTATGTCTTATGAAAATAACACTAGCTCTGGCCTGTGAAAGCTGATTACCCAATTTCATATTGCCCATCACTTTTCATTTTATATGCTGTTATCATTAATCATATTCCCCTGGTAATTTAGCTGGTCTATTTTGTGCTGTGGATGGTCATTTCAGATTTCCGTGATTTAAAGCTCTGCTTCTTTTCAGTCCTCAAAGTCTTTAAGCCATAGACAGTACCAGAATCAGTTACAAAGTGCTGACACCATATTATGTCTCATGAACTTAATGTTCTAGCTGTACTTTTAAAGCACCTTTTCTAAAGAGATCCATTACTTATGATTTAGTCCAGTGCATGCTCACTGTATGCAAGTGTTATTTGTTTGATATTTTATCCAAGTCTAAAGAAGGCTAAGCTATTCTTCATTGTTCTGAAATAGTTTTCTCTTATACATGTAGGTGGATTGAATGTGGTTCTCCTGTTGTTTGGCACATTTTCCATAACAACCAGCTAATTATTTGCATTTTAAAGCCTCCTAACTGGGCATGTAATATTACTAGCATACTTGTTCTGTACCAATGATGTGAGTGATCATATATAATATGGAAGTATTTTTGAAATACACTGAATTCATAAAGACAGAAATATGTCATAAGTGCTAAGCAACACTGAAGCAAATTTACAGACACTTAGCATCTTGGAGTAAGAAATAAGTCTTTTTCTGAAAAAGAAAAATCTACAGCCCCTCATCTTCAAATATTAGCCTCTTGTAGAGTTTTTCCTCATGGGGTTTCATGTTTTGCTTTGACATGTTAATAAATGGTTTTCAATGTCTTTGGCTATCAACAATTACAGTTTAAAATACAGATTTCTAGATATATAGGTTTCTGGGTTAGGTCAAATGTCTCACCAGCAGCACCTCCTCCTCTCCATGCAGACAGACAGTCACTCCTTTTTAACCAACCCTCCTGGAGGATTTTTCCCCTGGCTTGGAAGGTGCTGCTTGCTGAGACCAGTACAATTATTATTCCTTAGCACTTACTGAGTAGAAAAGATTAACATTGGAGCAGCTCCTATTCCTTCCTCATATCACTGATCAAGAATGGCATCAATTAATGTTTTGTGACTGGCTGGCTAACAATAGTGGTGTCTCTAGTTGTTCTCTGGCAGTGGTGACCTTGACTGCCACTGGTGTTGCAGGACTACACTGCATCTATCATGCTATACCCCCACCCCCTTCTTCAGGGCTCCTCGCAGAGAATATGGATTGTTTGTTTTGCGGCCCTTTGTAAGTGAAACACCCGCTCTTCCATCAGCTCAAAAATGCTATTCTCTGGGTTTGGCAGTCACTTCTGTCTCTCCCTCAGCATCTGTACAAACAACATTCCATTAGAAGCATTATTCCCTGTGGTTACAGAGATCTGTCCCCAGAATAAAAAATGCTGAATTTGTGTCCTGTCTCAGGAGCAGGCGCTCTCTTTGGAAGAGGCTGATGTAACCACTAATTAAGAGTGGACAGCAAACCATTCCAGCTGTCTCTGGGTGCCTAAATCAGTTAATCTCTGCAGCTGCACTGCTCTTGAAACTAAGGGGTGGCACTCATCTACTTTGCCATATCCTGACACACTTAGTGGAGTGGTACTCTTCAAAACCTGGCATGTACTCCTATGTCTGTGACTCAGCATTACAGCTAGTTACATTTTGGGAAAATTTGATTTTTTTTCTAGTGAAAAATATCAAAATTTGGTGATGAAAATGTGGGGAGAAGTTTGGCAAAACTTCCTCAAATCCTCTTTACCCACAATTTTCTCAAATTTAAAAAAAAATA